CCACCCCCCCCACCCCCCCACCTTCCGCCGCCACCACCGCCCAGCCACCACCCTGTCACCCACCTGCCTGCCATGATCAGAATAAAGTCCATGTTGTCAGTCTGAGATAAAATTATTGACAAGGGATGCCACTGCTCTACCAGTAAACGGCAAAGCATTGGGAAAGGGAGGGGTCAAACGCACAACCATCTTGACGCCCAGCGCGTCAGCTCAGGCGGCCAGCTCCAGGGCCAGGCGTAGGCGCGCCTCCAGCTGGTCCCAGCCGCCCCGCTCCGCCGCGACCAGCGCCGCGCCAAACGCCTGCCGCTGCTGCGCCAGCGTGTGCGCCTGCCAGTTGTCCACCAGTTGCTGCGGGCAGGAGGGGGTGGGCCGTGAGCTGGTGACGCGCTCAGCAGCAGCCAGCGGGGCTCCACAGGCAATCTGATTGCGAAACGTGCGGGCCAGGAGCAAGCGAGCGGGCACCACAGCGACCCCACCCCGCCCACCCTGCCACACACACCTGCAGCACCAGGCCGCCCTGCTCTGCCAGCACCAGGTGCTGCAGCGGGCGCAGCATGCTGTCAGGGCTGCTCCCGTCGGCTGCAGCAAACGCCGCCATCGCCCTCGCCACAGACGCCTGCCGCTCGGCCGCAGCCAGCTGGGCCAGCAGGGCAGCCGGCCCGCCGCCGCCGGCCGCCCGACCATCCGCAGTGTTGGCAGCAGCCCCGCCGCTTCCCCAGGCAGGGATGGGCCCAGCCGCTGCCACCCAGGCAGCCCCCGGGGTGGCCAAGTGCCCTGCCGCGGGCGGTTGCAGCGCCGGCGTCGCGAGCTGCGGCTGCGGCCCAGCCAGCTGCTCCTCCCTCGCCTGGGCACGGGGCGAGACTGGCCGGGTTGGAGGCAAGTCCTCCTCCTCCTCGCCCTCCTTGCCCTCCTCCTCATCCTGCTGCTTCTGCTGCTGCTGCTGCTGCTGCTGCTGCTGCTGCTGCTGCTGCTGCTGCTGCTGCCGAGCCAGCGTGGCCGAGGGGCGCAGCACCAGAAGGTCCACAGAGCCGGCACCAGCCTGGTGCCGCTTGGCAGCCGGCTCGCCCGCTCCGCCGGGCTGGTCGTCGGCCGCGGCGGCGCCCGCGGCGGCCGAGGGCCCACCCGCGTGCAGGCTGAGGCGTGGCAGGTTCTGCGTGCCCGCCGCCTCCAGCTGGCGCAGGGCCCCAGCTACGTCAGCCATGGAGCCCCCGGCGCCTTGCATGGCGCGGCAGGCGCGCGGCAGCAGCACCCAGACTGCATGAGAGGCTTGGGGCTTCAGGCAGCCCTGGGCCCGTAGGAACGCGAGCTCGGTGGGCGTCGCCTGTGCAGGCGGGGGGGCGGTGCTGGTGTGAGGGGCCGGTGCCACGGGCGCGGTCAAGGGTGTGGTGTGTGGTATGTGGTGCCAGCCCAGCAACACCAGTGTGGCTGCTCGGTGCAAGACCGCAGGCGCGCAAGAAGGGGAGCAGGGGTCACAGGCGCGCTCAGGCATCTCACCGGCATGAAGGCGCGCGGCTCATCCGCCTTGTCCCAGGACACCCTCCTCATGAACAACCTGAACGACTCGGTTGACCTTCTCATGCAGCGAGCATACTCTGGAGCCAGCTGGGATTGACACAGGTACAGGGCAGTACCGCCGATGCCGGGCTGACTGGTGGCCAGTATGACCAGTGGAGCGCAGGAGGGCTGGCTGGGTTGCAGGCTGGGCCCACGGAAGTAGCAGCGCAGCTGGTGTTCCTGCTGCTGCTGCTGCTGCTGCTGCTCTGGCTGCTGTGGCTGGGGCAAAACCCGCTCTGCCTCCCGCTGCTTGCGCTTGAGACTGCCGGTAAACGGGCTCGCACCAGCGGCGGCGGCTGGCATGAATCCGGGCTGGACTGCTGCTGGTGCATGCCCCAACACTGCCAACAGGAAGCACTTCATTTCGGCCGCAGAGGAGAGTTGCCTGCAGGTTGAGCCACAGATGGACGGAGGGACGCATTGAGTCAACCAAGCGTGCCGCGCCATGAAGCAACAGAACAAACACATCTGCTAGCTGCCAAGCGTTTCACGCACTGGACC